TGACATTCGTCTCTCTGAATTGACGTTGCTGTCACGTGACCTTCATGTATTTATCTTAGTCAAGGGGAAGTAATCGCCTCTTTGCATCCCTACACGGGTATCTATTTTTATAAAACATGCATACTTTCTTTGTATAATTCGCTTATTTGTATACACTTGAGATGAATACAGATCAGGTGAGAATGGCAGATGTTCTGGGAATCCAGGTCTTAAATGCATAAAGTAAAAGAGTGATAGATTTTGAAAAATGTTTAATGTATTCTAGAAGAGATTCTATCTATAGTAAAAGGCCTCCGCTGGTCATCAATCGATTTGATCCCAATCACCTGTAATCAAGCAGGATTTTTGTAAAAAGAGAAATCATACCATCAAAGTTACATTATTGTCGCGCTTGTCGAGACAAGAGGTTTATTGCCGCTACCACTGACACGGGTAATGTAATTATTTAAGAATGGTTTGCATTGGGGGGGAAACATTTCTATCAGCCGTCATGACAGGATGGTATGAAAGACAAGAATCAAAGGGACAGCAAAGCCATTACAGTTTGGCGCCAGCGACGAACTGCCTTAGGGGCTCCAACTCCGAATATTTAGCTGTATAGCATGTGCTACGCCAGAGTTGAATTCCGAATTACTTTGTCCTAGACAGGTTGCTATTTACCCGTAGCTGTGGGGGATAAGAGGATCCATACCTTTCCCAATGGTATTAGCACGTAAGTGAATATAATGTATCCAAATGGAATTCGATTCCAGCTCTCCGATTCCTCAATCCGAACTGCTATCTATGCTTCACTGTACTTCCTCATTAGTCCACTGTGCCTCCTTAGTAAAAGTAGAGTTTTGTTTTAAAAATAGGTGGGATATAAAAGCAGATGGGATATTTTCATGACAAATCCGTTAGAAAGAGAAATCATTCAATCAAAAGTTATATTAATGTCGCGCTTGACTATTGAGAGAAGAGTTTTATTGCCGCTACCACCGGCACAGGTATGGTAATTATTTAAGAATGGTTTGCACTCCAGGGGGAATAATAATATTAGCCGTGATGACATGCTAGAAACGAGATATCTGGTAATAGAAAATGCACAAAAGATGCTAGAAAATGGCCGGTTCATTGTACCGCTCCAGTAAGTATCTGACGCTACTTCGTATACTCTATCTTTACAAGAGCCAGATCAGACCAAAAATGAAGTACTGCTACCATACGTGGGCTGGAGCTGCCAAATCCTCATTTGCCTGTCTTAATAGAGTTCATAAGCGTATGAATTATATCCACCTTACAACCCCTTTTCCACAGATAAAACATGGCGAGCTGCATTATTGCCGTTTCCATAGAAAATGTTCTGACGAGCTACATTCCTTGGTTCCCTGGGACCTGCTGTGCCACGTAGACGTGGTTGAAGCATCCCTATTCCCTTCGTATTTCATTAGTAAGGAGTAAGTTCCATTCGGACTGCTACTTTGTGGAACAGACTCAAGACAATGTGTTTTCCCAATCACTAAAGTCATAACCTCTTTATGTCTTGTGTTAACCGTTATCTTTTCCGCATAAGACCATGAACTTCGCTTCTTGCCTTTTCTTACGGTCGTACAACACTACACAGTAACGCTCTACTTGGATTGGCTCTTGGGCCTTGTATTGGATGAACATTAGTAATTTTTTTAAAATCGATTTATATATTTTGTAACCAGCCCCAAAGGTAATCCAAACTGCTTACCGCTTGCATAATCTGCGCCAATGACCGATCCCCTGCCAGGCGTTTCCAAAAATACAATATGGAAAAAAATAAAAATATAAAGAAAAGAAAAGCGTGTAAAGCAAACTAGTCGTTTACTGACTTCAGTAGAGAGATTATTTTCAAAAGTTTTAATCGTTTTTTTTCAGTGCCTTTTTATATACCTTCCATCTCTTACACTTTTCCTTACGACACGCCTTAGTTATTTCCTCCCTCCTCTCTCTCTCTCTCTCTCTGTCTCTCTGTCTCTGTCTCTGTCTCTGTCTCTCTCTCTCTCTCTCTCTCTCTCGCCCATTTCCAGTTTGGCTACGGACGGCAAAAAGAAAGTCACTCAGCACTGAAAACCTTTACCCCTGCACATAACCTTACGCTAGCCTCAGCTTTCACGAAACGTGTTTTACGAGATAACGCACTTAAAAGAATTGGGCTAAAAAGTAACAAAAACAGGCTTCACCCACAGATCGCGCGCTATCACACAAAGCCAACACAGGCAGCAATGATTCAAAATCTAAGCAGACGTTAAAAATAGTGTCAAAAATATGCAGACGTACTGCCCCGAAGGATGAGACCAGAGTTTTTTTTACCTTGAACCTGAATGTTTAAAATGTTTGACTCATTTCAATGCACTGAGCAAAGCGTTAAAACAGAAACAAATATTTCATACGTCCTACAATTGTGTACAGAGTGAGTGGAAAGAAACTGAAAAAATTGAAAATTATTTTTTTTAATATCAGCACATTTGCATGAAACAAGATATATTGGGATCCCCAACGTGGTAGAATTTCATTGCTAATTGTTTTTTAACTGCTTCTTTTTTTTTTTTTCACATTCTGGACACGTGACCCTTCCAGCGAAGGCGATAACAATATGATACATTTTACAGATATTTACTTATTTCAGGTTGTCAAGAGTGAAATATTTTGTATTATAGCAGAATTAAGACGAGCGACAGAAATGTGGTTCTACGGAAAGATGCTGAGGATACCATGGACCGAGCATGTGAGCAACAACGAGGTTTTTGAGAAAATGGAAACAAAAAGGAAATGTATACTTAACATCAGGAGGAGGCAGTTGTAATTGCTGGGACACGTGATGAGGAAGGAGGGCTTGGAAAATCTGATACTCACATGAAAGATTGAGGGAAAGAGGGATAGAGGAAAAGCAACGCGTAAAATACTTAATGAGCTTGAGCAGATGGATGGTAGAGCAGGGTCTGGAATAAATACCAAAAAGACAAAACTTATTAAGAGCTACAAGAGAAGATGTGGAGCGCCATGATTGCCTACGTCCTGAAGGGACACGGCACATAATGAAGAGATTGAGAAAGCCCAAAATTGCCTAAGAGTGGTAAGTATGGTGACACCATTGAATGCAATGGTCAATCAAGTAAAAGGTTCTGGATCTGTTCTAATGAGATTTTATTTCTGATACATTTTTAATGAGCGCGAGGAATCTTTGTTTCTTAAATCAGCATGATTTTTTTTCCTTTTACCTTGACTCGAATTCATGGAGGAATGTAAATATAATATTATCAGCGTACAACCGCAGATAAATACCGATATTTTTGATGACGTCTCTGCATAGTTGCTCCTCGATCTCACCAATATGCCTTATTATCTCATCCTTCAGTTGTTGAATTGTTGTTGGTTTGTTGGCATAGACCTTGAGGTGACCCCAAAGGAAGAAATCTAAAGTGTCAAGTCGCACGATCGTGGTGGCCAATTGACTTTGCTGTTTCGAGAGATGATGCAACCTGGGAACTTCTCCATCAATAAAGCCATTGTTGCATTTACTGTTTGGCATGTGGTGACATCCTGTTGGAACCACAAATCTTTGTTTGTTAATCTTTCCATGGTTGAAATTACCAAAGACTTAAGTTGTTAAATTTGAAAGAAAAAGAAAAAAATCTTTAGACGCTTAAACTTAATTCACATTTAAAATCGGTTCAAGTTATTGGAACATCCGATAGCATGGCTTACTGGGCACTTAGCCCTGATATGACAACCATTATTGGAGAGGGTAAACTCTGGATTCAAAATAAGATCCAAAATATGCAGGTAACATATGTTACCAGAGCAGGAAGTGCAATCGACAAGCTGAGTTCAAATTTCATCCTAGTTGCCTCGCTTTCACTTTTCACAAATAATCTTAGAAAAGTTATTGACCCATCTTTTCTCTCCCCATCACTGAAAACTATGGGTTAAATAGCAGAGTAGACTAAGCTTTCTAGCCTTAGGTGGCAACTTGTCTAAGAGAAGGACAACTTTGAATTCAAAACCGTAAAGAAGTCAACGAGAAACCAATCCACACAGTAATTTAAATTAATGCCATTCTTTTAAAAAAAAATACTGCTTATCAACTTTTTGCAGGTTATTTAAAGACAGAAAATACTTTTACATTCTAAGAATTCTAAGAATAGTGATTTCAATCCTCTCTCCTCTTATACTGATTGATTTGTTTTTTTTTACGGCGTTTCGGTTGTTGTACGCTCTGGTCTTCTTCAGGTGATTGATCGGGGGAATTATTCTAGTTCCACGTGCCATGCCTCTTCTGGGGGACTCACTTATCTCCCTTTAACTCAATTCTCCAAGTTTTTGTTCACCGCTACGGTAGCCAGGTATTGAACCTCACAACTCTTTGGGTCCAGTCACTGTATCCGCCCAACGCTTGAGGACACATGGCCCAGTGGATAAAAGTGTTCGTCGGATCCACTGACTTCACCCAAAGAGTTGTGTGTTCAATACCTGGCTACTGCAGCAAAAACTTGGAGAGTTGAGCTAAAGGGAGATAAGTGAGTCCCCCAGAAGAGGCATGGCACGTGGAACTAGAACAGTCTACCTGGGTGAAGAAAATAAAGGGTTGTTCAAAATTTCAATCACCTGAAGAAGGCCGGAGCGTACAACGGCCGAAACGTCGTGAATATGGCAATAAAGATGAGGACAATAGTCCGAACAATGTAAATAATATTAATAATTACAACACCTCATCTCATAAATATAGACAGATAATGGTTTTTATGGCTTATCAATCTTTTGCAGGTTATTTAACGATAGAAAATATTTTTAGACAGTAAGAATATTTTTTGAGATAATAATGGTTTAGTGATACCAGTCTTACTAATTAACCCATAGCTGGGGAACAAAATGTGGATTTATACCTTTCCCAGGGATATTTGCGCGTACGTGAATATAACGAATCCAACAGATATTGGTTCTCCGATTAACAATTTCAAGCCATTATTCATTACACCACCCGCCCATCCAAGATTACAGCGCCTGGTATTCCCAAGCTGTCACCCACCTAAGTAATAACCTGGCTCGACGTTGCTTAACTTCACTGATCGTACGGGAATCGGTGTTTCAATCAGTCTGTTTTCAAAGCGTCACCATCTAAGTAATGACCAGGCTCGACATTATGATCATACAAAACCAGTATTTCAACGTACAGCATCTGTTATTCCAAAGAGGTCACCGATCTAGTTACTGACCAGGCTCGACTTTGCTTAACTTCGATGATCTTACGAGAAACGGTGTTTCAACGTGCAGCACCTGGTATTCAAAGGGGTCACTGATTTAGGTACTGACCAGTCTCGACGTTGCTTAACTTCTATGATCGTACGAGAACCGGTGTTTCAACGTACAGCACCTGGTATTCTAAAGGGGTCACCGATCTAGGTACAGACCAAGTTCGACATTGCTTAACTTCGATGATCGTACGAGAACCGGTGTTTTGACGTGATATGATCGTTAGCCAGGAGAAGAAGAAATGAAATAAAATGAAACAAGAGACACGGGAGAGACGAAGGATGGCGACTAAAAAATAAGAACAGAAGAGAAAAAAACCTCACCAATAAATTCTTCCACGTCTTTCCTTAATCATGTAACTTCCCCAACCCTCTTCCAAAAGGGATTGAAACCCGTCGTATGAGGCAAAAATTTTATTGCCAGTTTTACTTATAATTTGCGTGCCCACAACAATGGTACCCTCAGCTCGGACCTCTTAAATTCACTGCCCACTCCCATTGTTTCCAAGGCTAGGCAACAGCTGGTCAGTGTTGTGCTGGCCACAGATGGACTGTAACTCTGTTCTCCGCTACCCACCAACCCTTTCAGTTTGCCACGTAGGAAATTTTAACTTTGTTGGTTCAAGAGAATAAAAATCAGAGAAATGAACAAAAAAGATTTTTGAAGATAGACAAAATATATATAGGTTGTGATAAATTATCCAGTGAGTCTACACACCTACATGATATTGAATATCAAGTTCAAGACAATAATGCCGAACGATGGAAAGTAAAAACCAGCGGGGAAAAAATCTGTTCATATATTTGATTTGCAAATTAAATACAATTTTCATGTTTCAGTGTATATTTTATATTATTTATAATATGCAGCCTAACTTCAATTTCACACACACACGTCTTCAATGTCAGCGTAAACTCAATCCGAGTAGGGCATTTGATAAGCTTTCTGTCTGAGCGATTTATAAATGTGGGACATCTTTTATGCACCATATCCTTTCCAAGAAGTCTTTAAGAGCTGAAGAATTTTACTCCTTAACATAGGTTGGCTATCGTTTATCCGGACACTTTGGAACAAGGTTTTAAGAAAATACTCAGAGTATTCAAAATTCCGGATAATTTAATATCTAAATTACCGGAAAAAAGAGAAGGGTGCAAATTAAGTATGCGATCTGCCTCCCGAGTCTGATCTACCAGAACAACGCCTCACTAAAATACAAGTTGAGAAAATTCTCTACATTAAAATATACATTAAAATTAGATATATATGGAATCAGACAGGAAAAAGAAGTACTCTCATATATGAGGTACGTTCCAGAAGTTTCGAGACCTTTTTTGGGTTGGGGGGGCATTTCTTAATTTCACAGAAGAACAAAGCCCATACTCCTTCAAAGTAGAATCCTCTGACTTCAATGCACTTGATGTAGCGCTCTACCCAGTCCGTGAAGAACCCCAAATACATATTAAAAATAGATATATGTGTTTGCTTATTTTGTTAACGGCATATCAACACCTTATGGGTTGTTATTTTGCTTTCACAATTGAATATATGATAGTTGATACTCCGCTTTTGTACATATACATGTCTGTTTGATATGGTTTGTTTTGTTTTACAGTATATCAACCTCAATGGGTTATTTAATGCCGACAAAATTTTTATTACTGGTATTATATTTTTCAAAAATGTATTGCTGGTATAATTATTTTGTAGAAAGGATTTCTGGCATTAAAACCTATTTTTACACTTTCATAGTGTTTTGATCCCAGTTTGGGGTTAACTATTTACCCATAGCTAGGACCCTAACAGGTGCTACTACCCTGGGTCAGGATGAACCTGGGAACACCAACAATTAAGAGGTGGTTCCACGCTCCTCAAAACCTCCTGATCAGAGGCCTTGCTGTTGGACTTAGTTTATCGTCTTACCCAGGATGCGGATGTAGTTTATCGTCTTACTCAGCTTGTTTGAGCGTATTTACTAGAGACAGTGCTGTGTGTGTTTTATGTTGTAGTTTGTTTTTTCAGTTATATTTTTAATACAGTTTCATTTCTTTATGACATTGTCGGTCATTATATGAATTAATGTCATGAAAAAGTTCTTTCATGTTGGTTGTTTGACTGATTTCGTTTAGGGACACATCAACCTCTTGGGGTTATTTGATGTCCAAATCTAAATATTTTGAACGCAATTGCACGCCTTCGACTACATCTAAAATGTTTGTTTGTTTGTTTGTTTTGTTTTGTTTTACGGCATATCAACACCTCAATGGGTCATTTAATGCCGACAACTCCCCCCCCTAGTAATATTTTTGTTTTGTCAAAAATCCATTTCTGTTAATATTTTTTTCTCAAAAATGTATAGCTGGTAATACTATTTTTTTTTTTCAAAAATGTATAGCTGGTAATATTTTTTTCAAAAACGTATTGCTGGTAATATTATTTTTTAAAAAACGTACAGCTGGTAATATTACTTTTCCAAAAATGTATTATCAGAGGCCTTGCTGTTGGATGTAGTTTATCGTCATACCCAGGACATGGATGTAGTTTATTGTCATACCCAGGACGCGGATGTAGTTTATCGTCATACCCAGGACGAAACATCTAAAATGTATTGTTGGTTAATTTAAATGGGTAATGCTGGTAATTTTATTATAAATATGTATTGTTAGTAATTTTACGATAAAAATGTGTTTTTTTTTACTTTCATAGTGTTTTGTTTTTGTTTAGGTTTCACTATTTGCCCATAGCTGGGAGCATAACAGATGCTAATACCCAAGGTTAGGGTGGACCTTGGGACATCAGCAATTAAAAGGTGGTACCATGCTCCTCAAAATTTCCAATCTCCCGATTAGAGGCCTTGCTGCCGGATGTAATTTATTGCCATATGACCAATGACTAAAAAAATAGATATATACGGAATAAGACAAGAAAAAGTAGTCTTTATTTAATATACTATAATAATATACTAAACAAATGATAACATATGATAAAAAAAACTAAAGGAAATTATTGTTTTAAATAATAGTAACACTGTCTATAAACAGTTTGAACATCATTCAGAAATGCAATAAATCAATTCTAGCCATTGGATCGTATAATTTTCTCTGGTTTATATATAAAATCCATCAGAAGCCTTCATTCAATGTGCGCTATATTTAGTGATATAGCGTGATATTTAAGTAAAGTTGGGCATATAGGTAAGATCACATATTTTAGAAGAATTATGCACGTATATTACACAGTTAAATAGCACCGAATGAAGTATTAAGTTGTCCGATTTTACAAGCAACATTTATTTCTGAATTAATCTATTTAAACAGTGTTTAAATCAGTTAAAATAGTGTTGTAACTTAGGGAAGGTTACTGAATAGAATAATCACACGAAGGTTGGTAATGAACGATAATACTTAGGAGGATACGAACAACACGTATAAGATTCGCCAGCGGCGCGTAGAAGTAGTAGTCAACTGCTAAAAGTGAGTCAAGTGAATTCCACAATGAATCTCCAACTACAGGATATCTACCAACCGCCCCACGCGGTCAGATGTGGCACAAGACCAAATTTAATATGGGGTATCCGAGCCCGTTGGCTCGGCCAAAAATTCCCCGTAAACCCCGTATAAAACGGTGTCGGGTAGCTGTTTCTCGAGACGAGACTCTGCCCTTCGACATAGCCTCGTCTGGAGAGCCTCTCTGACTGGAGGCAGAGAGTTTGACCAACACAGCTGGAGACGGACCTCCAACTGTATACCAACATACAGTATTTACTACTGTATTTATGTGAATGTGGACATACCCATTATCGAACGTAGGTATGCTACAACAAATAGGAAACCTAAACATCTATACATTTCTACCATTAAATTACAAGTTTATTTATACCTTTACGATAAAATGCTAATCGTTTAGGTGCCAAGATGTCTTTGAATGCCGTTTCTGCGTCTTCTTTGCAACGAAATATCTTTGGGCTTAAAATATTGTCAAGTTGCCTTAAAAATGGTAGTTAATGGGTGAGAGATCAGGGGAATATTATGGATGTGGCAAAGTTTCATATCTCGGTGAGCTTCTACAGTGTTATCCTGGCAACATGTGGGCGAGCATTGCCAGGAAGCAGAATTGGATCTCGACGATAAATCAAGGCCGGTCGCACTTTGCTTAAATGAATGCGAATGTCGCCCAGTTGCTAGCAGTGAACTCCGGCGGTGGTGCTCTAGTTAGATTCCAGAAAGCTGTAATGGATAACGCCAAGGGTGGACCAGCAGACAATCACCATAATCTTCTCTTGGTGTAATTTCGGTTTTGGAAAATTGGTTTTGGGTCCTTCCTCATGATCAAACCTTTGAGCCGATCGTTTTTGATTGTCATAAACTATATATTTCTCATCACCTTTTAATCAAGAAATGGCTCATTCGAATTTCGTAGATGCAGCATCCGACACACCCGAAAATGTCAAACTGACTTTCACTGAGTTCATGTGGAATCAGTTTATCGAGTTTCTTCACCATGCCAATTTCTTCGAGATTGTCTGATATTCTTGAAATGCTAACACTTGTTATCTGAGACATTTTCCTGACATTTTCACGTGTGTTTTGTTTCGTTTGTTTTTTTTTTTTTTACGGCATATCAATCTCAATGGGTCATTTAATGCCGACAACTTTTTTTTTTCCTGATAATATTTTTGTTTTGTCAAAAATCTATTTCTGGTAATTATTTTTCCAAAAACCTATAGCTGGTAATTTTTTTTTTTTTTTCAAAAACGTATTCTTGGCAATATTTTTTTCCTTCAAAAATTTATTTCTGGTAATAATTTTTTACAAAGTATCTCTGGTATTAAAACCTATTTTTACACATTTATAATTCTTTTTACCTCAGTTTCGGAGTTAGCTATTTGCCCATAGCTGGGACCCTAACAGGTGCTACCACCCCGGGTCAGCGTGGGCCTGGGAACACCAGCAATTAAGATATGCCTTCAATTACGGATAAAATGTAATGCTGGTCATTTTGCTATAAAATGTATTGTTGGTAATTCTACTATAAATAAATATCGTTGCTAATTTTACTATAAATAAGTACTGTTGCTAATTTTATAATAAATAGGTATTGTTGCTAATTTTACTATAAATATGTATTGTTGCTAATTTCATTATAGATGTTGCTGCTAATTTTGCTATAAATATGTATTGTTGCTAATTTTACTATAACTAAGTATTGTTGCTAATTTTATTATAAATAGGTATTGTTGCTAATTTTACTATATAAAATGCATTGCTAGTATTTGATATAAAAATGTATTTTTATACTTTCATAGTGTTTAGGGGTTCACTATTTAACCACAGCTGGGACACCTAACAGGTGCTACCATCCCGGGTCAGGATGGACATGGGAACAACAGCAATTAAGCGGTGGTTCCACGCTTCTCAAAACCTTCAGTCCCCCCCCACACGCACACCCCGATCAGAGGCCTCATTGCCGGATGTAGTTCATTGTCATGATCAGGACTAGAAAGTATTAGACACTACCACAGGAGCAAGCCAACTGTTCAGTTTTTATCTCTGGGAGGTGGGTACAAATTTTAAATATTAATTTATAACGTCGAAAGCAAGAATCAGTTAGAGCGCCCTTCAATAAAAATAGTCAATACAAAAATTCTAAACTGCAGCGATCATGACTCCCCACAACTTCCTGATCCTAGTCCCTAAGTAATGTTTGATGCTTTAACATCACTCTTTGCCCCCACTCTGCCAGCCTATCACGCCACGCCTTAAGTTACTTGCTGCTACCCTCTGTTCCTCTTGCCTTCAGTTTATCCTGTGGGTGTTAAATTTTCCATGCCTTCTTTCCACATTGTGTCCAAGATATTTCTAGTTCATTTCTGATTTTAAGTTCCCATTTTTTTTAAAACGTCCATGTTGCTCATATATTCCGTCCATAATATTCGTTTGTAAAACCAAATCTCTTCTTGTCTTTTCACCTTTTAAGAAACTGTCCAACATTCACCGCCATACAGAAGGACTGATATGACATAACAGTGAAGCACCCATTTCTTTGTTTCTAATGGCATTTTCCTTTTTCTTAATATTTTGCTAAGTTTCTGAAAGGCATTTTTCGCTATTCCGATACGAATCCTGTCACATTTTCCCTCGTCTGTTACTACAGTAACCAAATAATTAAATTTCTGTACATGATTGATTTGGTCGTTTCCAATTCACCTTAATCTGTCTGTTGTATCTTCGAAGTGAATGATACGCAGAGAACAATGAACAGTATTTATTCACCACCAGTATCCGGTGCTAACGGATACATACAAAAAACACAGAACAATAAGTTACAAAACAATTAACAAGACAACTTACAAGGAATAGAGGAGGGTCAAATACTGTATAAGCAAACAAAGTAAGATCAGTCCGAATATTAATCAGCTTAGTATCAACTTATTAATTAACTGTTGAGGTCCTTAATCGTAGGCTATTTAATGCTATGAGTCAGGCCATCTGGTAGAGTGCTGAAGGGGTGCTAGATACTCTACAACACTGTCCTTGCTAATGGCTATGCATTCTGTCTTCTTACAGTTAATAGTTAGTCCTTTGTTCCTGCTTTCTTTCAGTGCTATGTCTCGTAGTTTTACAGTGTTCGTTTTCAGTTTCATTGAGTGATAAGTTTTTTTGTCAACCATTTCCAGGTTATTTAAAACCAGAAAAAATTTTTGGTTGTAAGGATATTTTTAGATAATAATGATTGGGTGATACAAGTTTTACTAATTAACCTATAGCTGGGGGAGAAGAAGTGGATTCATACCTTTCCCAAGGGTATTGCGCGTAATTAGTCTACTATCTTTTCCATATAAATCAAGTTTTCCTAGCAGTTCAAACAGGTTTTCGTGTCGTGCCTTATCAAATGATGTCTGTAATTTATATATGACAATAGTGTACGGAGTGACGAATGAGTAATTGATAACTGTGTATTTGTTAAATTCTCTATATTTATCTTAAATGGTTTGTTTTGTTTTACGGCATATCAACCTCAATAAGTTATTTAATGCAGACAAAATTTTTATTTCTGGTAATATTTTCCTTCAAAAATGTATAGCTTGTAATATCATTTTTTAAAAATGTATTGCTGGCAATAATATTTTTTTTACAAAGTATTTCTGGTATTAAAACCTATTTTTACACTTACATAATGTTTTGACCCCAGTTTGGGGGTTAACTATTTGCCCATAGTTGGGACCCTAACACGTGCTACCACCCCAGGTCAGGGTGGACCTGGGAACACTAGCAATTAAGAGGTGGTTCCACGTTCTTCAAAACTTCCTGATCAGAGCCCTTACTGTTGGACGTAAGTTAACGTCATACCCAGCACGTAGACGTAGTTTAACGTCTTACTCAAGATACGGACGTACTTTAACGTCTTACCCAGGACGTTTTTTCTTAAATCTGAACTTTCTTATTTAGAGGAGAACTAGTTGAAATACTTTAGCCTTGTTCTGCTGTGACGATTATAAGTCTTGAAAGACAATTTTATTAGGTGCGTATGACGAGAACACGTTCTGACACGAGAATAACACGAGATTTGGAACGTTTAATTATACAACAACTCCAATACTTCGTCAAATACTCTCGGCCAGTGTGTGTGGTACGGCCCCCAGTGATCCTTGAATGAAATGTGCGATCTTACATTCTCGTTTGATTGATTGACATTTTTACGGCTTATCAACCCTTTTTGGGTCATCTAAAAAAAATATTTCGTGTTGGAGAAGATTCATTACAATACTCGATGCTCCCAAGAGGTTAGAAGGCGAGCGAATATTGCATTAAGAATTTTTTGCGAATACCAATGAAGCTTTCAGACACAAGTCCTACTATCTGACTCAAACGTGGCTGATGGGTCGGGAGGGGGGAAATTAACTTTTCCCCAAGGGTATCTGCGGATATGTAACGAAGCTGACAGGAGTTTGAACTTGGCCCTCCGATTTCCTGTGTTTGACAGACTGTCCGACTCTGGGACGTTTGTTTATATATCCATCTGTTTTTCTCACGCGTGCATATATCAGGTGCAGCCTTGCCCACAGGTGTTCACCTCTCAGGGTCACCACTGGCAACGGGTGAATCGGTATCTCCGCATCCTTGGCCCGGGCTAGGGTCATCTCATCTTGCTTCCTTAATAGTCTGGTATGAATTTGATTGCAAAGCCTGTTTTGACGTAATACTACAAATAAAAAAGAAGAAAGTATTTAATTAGGTACCTCTACTGAAAATTGATAATTAAGGTTTCTTTTTTTTTTTTAATGAAAACTCTTTTTTTAATTTCAAGCTAATAGATTAAATTAAATATTTCCTATAAACAAAATACTTTGCTGTATTTCAAAACTAATTAAAATTGACGGGAAGGTGTTTTCGTTTGAAATCGCTAAACATCGCTGATTTTAGCGCCATTTTTAGCCGCCTTTTATCACAATCTTTATTAAAAAATCTTTCAAAAATAAAATCTACTTTTCTGAAACATTATTTGTGGAATATTACCTGATTTAAGGATTAATTAATTAATCTGATTTGAAACAAATATTACTTACTTTTGATTTTCCGTTTATAATTAGTTAATATAGGCTTTACTGAATAATATCACGTAACCTTTACAAATTAATACAGAGATTCCTACCTTTCCTAATGGTATTTGCATGCAAGTGAATATAACAATACCGACCGGAATTATACAGCAACTTGTATACAGCAAGTGCTCACCCACCTAAGTAATGACCAGGCTCAACGTTACTTAACTTCGGTGATCGTACGAGAACCGATGTTTCAACGTGATACGACCGTAAACTACATATTCGCGGAAGATATGCGCCTCCAGCTAACGAATACGGAGAGTTGATTGTGATCGAGTCATTACGTGAGAATGTGCAGTTCATAATCAAATGTTGAAAAGGTATTGAAATACACTTCAAATTCTAGCATTCGATCACCGAAGTTAAGCAACGTTAGTACCTAGAAGAATGGGAATACCAGGTTCCTTAAGCTTGAATTTGCGAATGATGTAATGGGCTTACGGCCACAAATCATTGAAAGACCGGTTCCTGTACGATCACCGAAGTTAAGCAACGTTGAAACTGGTCGGTACCTAGATGGGTGACCGCTTGGGAATTCCAGGTGCTGTAAGCTTAAATGTAAAAAAATGTAATGGGCTTACGGCCATAAATTGTTGAAAGACTGGTTCCTGTACGATCACCGAAGTTAAGCAACGTCGAACGTGGTCAGTACCTAGATGAGTGACCGCTTGGGAATTCCAGGTGCTGTAAGCTTAAATGTAAAAAAATGTAATGGGCTTACGGCCATAAATTGTTGAAAGACCGGTTTCTGTACGATCACCGAAGTTAAGCAACGTTGAACCTGGTCAGTACCTAGATGGGTGACCGCTTGGGAATACCAGGTTTTGTGAGCTTGTATGTGCAAATGATTTAATGGGCTTACGTCCATAAATAGTTGAAAGAACGGTTTCTGTACGATCTCGAAGTTAACAACGTTGAAACTGGTCGGTACCTAGATGGGTGACCGCTTGGGAATTCCAGGTGCTGTAAGCTTAAATGTAAAAAAAATGTAATGGGCTTACGTCCATAAATTGTTGAAAGAACGGTTCCTGTACGATCACCGAAGTTAAGCAACGTTGAACCTGGTCGGTACCTAGATGGGTGACCTCTTGGGAATACCAGGTTTTGTGAGCTTGTATGTGCAAATGATTTAATGGGCTTACGTCCATAAATAGTTGAAAGAACGGTTTCTGTACGATCTCCGAAGTTAAGCAACGTTGAAACTGGTCGGTACCTAGATGGGTGACCACTTGGGAATTCCAGGTGCTGTAAGCTTAAATGTAAAAAAATGTAATGGGCTTACGGCCATAAATTGTTGAAAGAACGGTTCCTGTACGATCACCGAAGTTAAGCAACGTTGAAACTGGTCAGTACCTAGATGGGTGACCGCTTGGGAATACCAGGTTTTGTGAGCTTGTATGTGCAAATGATTTAATGGGCTTACGTCCATAAATAGTTGAAAGAACGGTTTCTGTACGATCTCCGAAGTTAAGCAACGTTGAAACTGGTCGGTACCTAGATGGGTGACCACTTGGGAATTCCAGGTGCTGTAAGCTTAAATGTAAAAAAATGTAATGGGCTTACGGCCATAAATTGTTGAAAGACCGGTTCCTGTACGATCACCGAAGTTAAGCAACGTCGAACGTCTTCAGTACCTAGATGGGTGACCGCTTTGGAATTCCAGGTGTTTACGTCCATAAATAGTTGAAGGAACGGTTCCTGTACGATCACCGAAGTTAAGCAACGTTGAAACTGGTCGGTACCTAGATGGGTGATCACCTTGGAATACCAGGTGCTGTAAGCTTGTTTGTATGAGTGATGTAATGAATAACGACCCGAAATTTTGAATCGGAGGGCAGAGTTCCATTTCCAATCGGGTTCGTTATATTCACTTATGTACAAATAATCTTGGTAAAAGTATGAAATCATCCATTCTCCTAACAACTATGAGTTAGTAACTAGTAAGACTTTTATCACTAAACCATTACTATCGCCAAAAATGTCTAACAATTTGTCATTCAGGAATAAAATGAGTAACTACCGACACCGAGATTCGAGCGTGACACTCTGGATTTATGAATATATGCTTTCCACCAGCGATTATTGTGTGATTATTGAGTGACTGTTGAGCGGAACTATCCAGTCGAATTAGTGTGAATTTAGGATTTACCAGACATTAAGCCGAGCAGGACTACTAACAATGTATTTACTGAAATGGTTAATTATCTTTGGTTGACTTTTACTTCTTTGTTTTTGTTAAGTATTTATTTGTGGTTGTAATTAAATACTGTTTTATTTTAAGACTGAATTCTTGAGTTATACTTAATTATTAACGGTCACCGTACGCCACAAAACAATCGAAAAATATTTTTTGACTTTAAATAATCTGCAAAAGTTTGATAAGCCTTAGAAAATAGATCAATCGAGATAAAAAAAAAAATATTAAAAAAAAAAACATGTCGGCTTCGGTTCCAAAATTATACAAATAGAAATGATTTATACTTATGTCTTATTGATTAGGCAAAAGCTTTTGATAAAGTACACGACAAAGGATTATTTAAATTGCTAGGTCAGCTTGATTTATTTGAGAAGATGTAATCGATAAAAATCAATGGCAAGGACACGGAAGCGTTGAACTCTATCAAAACTGGAAAGTGAAGATTAATTAGCTCCAGTTCAGATATGGCGGAAATACTCCATTTTGGATCTGACTTGTGTCTTGTAATGACAGTGCATGGCAGGAGTATTCATGTACAAGGAACCGGGCATTTAACACAGTCTCTTTAGTGATGGATCGTATATATGTGTTCCACTTACGGTCTGGGTGTGTTTGTAAAGCAGTAGAGCCAATATGACACAAGGGGTTACAGGGTGTAGAAGAATTAAGAAAAGAAACATTAATAATGAGCGTGAAGAGAAAAGAGTAATCAGGAAGATTGACATTGCATTTAAATGTTTGCAAATTAAAGTTAGCTGGATAGCAAGAAGCCAGAAGGTTTGGTTTGGTTTCGTTTGGTTTCTTTTGTTTTGCGGCATATCAACACCTCAATAGGTCATTTAATGTCGACAACTTTTTTCCTAGTAATATTTTTGTTTTGTCAAAAATCTATTTCTGTTAATATTTTTTTCCTCAAAAATGTATAGCTGGTAATATTATTTTTCCAAAGCTGGTAATATTTTTTTTTTCAAAAACGTATTGCTGGCTATAGTTTTTTTCTTTTTTTCAAACATTTATTTCTGATAATAATTTTTTACAAAGTCTTTCTGGTATTAAAACCTATTTTTACACCTTTATAATGCTTTTTACCTCAGTTTCGGGGTTTGCTATTTGCCCATAGCTTGAACCCTAACAAGTGCTACCACCCCGGGTCAGGATGGACCTGGGAACACCAGTAATTAAGAGGTGGTTCCATGTTCCTCAAAGCCTCCTGATCAGAGGCCCTGCTGTTGGACTTAGTTTATAGTCATACCCAGGACGCGGTGGTAGTTTATCGTCATACCCAGGACGGGAACCCAGAAGAAAGTTCCACAAGTAAGAAATGAGAAAACTGAAACTGTTAGCATAAAATTTACATGTAGCCTAGCTCAACGCAAAATTGACGCCAATCTAGTATTGCTCTTAGATTCAAAAAAGTCTAGGTACCATAGTGAAGAGCGATATTTATTCCGCTGATGTACAGAAATGTGGCACAAAGCCAAAATGGGGGATGATGAAAAAAGAATGGTCTTCTTCTGTCTTAGAATTAAACATAGCTAGCCACAACCACTGACCCAAACATAACACAATATTCAGTCAGTCAGTTAAGTTCTGGACTGGTGAAAACAAGGAATGCAGTTCAGTCGAGCATTTGCGATGAAAATAGAGTAACGAGAGCTTGGCAACGTTTTCGACTGTGAGAAAGGGGTTGTAGGTTGGGAAAATATCGTCACTCACAAGGCTGCGCAAATGCTTTTAAATTCTGCTTGGGCAAGAAAGTGAGCATTCGACATCTCTAGTCCAGAAAATCAGATTCTTACCAACAACCAATATCACATGCTGTCAGTCAGTTATGTGCCATGCGTGATACCCCCTTAGGCGATCATGTATCGATTTTTTCACGCAGTTGGTTGCCATTTCTTTCTGCGGTAGACCAGTTGCCATCCAAGGCTATAGAACCCAGTCTGTTCTATTTATATACAGCTGCGGGGGAGAAGAAGAGGATCCATACCTTTCTCAATGGTATTAGCACGTAAAAAGCATTCTTACTTACCATTCTTATAACATCCTCCATAATGCCTCAATGTCTCTATGAAATTCCTATATAGTCCCTATATGTGTAGTTCGTAGGTGTGGGAATAACAGTTATAAAAATCTAGACCCCAATAGCGAAGAGCGATATTTATTTCTGTTGAAATACAGAAAATATGGCACAAGGCCAAAATGGGGAATATGGAAGAAAGGATGATCTTCTTTTGTCTTTAAATTAAACTTAGCTCGCCACAATCACTGACCCAAACATACCACGATATTCCTAACACCAAAAAAGAAACGCATTTTTACTTACTATTCTTAATACATTCACTATAATACCTCATTGTCTCTATGAAAAACCTAACTAGTCCCCATTTGTACAATTCATTGTCTGTGGAAGAGGGGAATAAAACCACAATTTAAAATCTAACTAATTAAATTAATTAAATGTATTTACAATATGAAAAAAGATATTTACAAGAAATCAAACAAAATAATAGGGAAGAGTTCATTTGAACAATTACCATGAAAATATTCATAAAAAAGACACAGAGAGGCAACCTTAGGGTGGTAGGAATTCGTAAACAAATGTTTGATGAAATTATGGCCGGCTTAGCCGTTTCTTTGCTTGTTTTGCTGTTCATTGACCGAAGTGCTCGTGTCGGTTGAAATGTATAAAATATTTTACTTAAAACAGTTACTCAGAAAATTATATCATCCAAGTGTCTACTAACGGTTATTGATCTTTCTAGTACTGAATAATGTTTCATTCCAAACCATTTGTTTAAGGTAATGTGTCATAAATACATAGTGTAAAGATAAGAAAAACAATTATTTTTACACGACAATATTTCATTTTCAACATAATCTCCTTCCTTATCAGTGTAATTAGTAAGAGTGAAATTAGCCGTCTCCATACAGGAAACGTTTGACATTCATTGACTAAAAGCTTTGTGTTACGGTCAGCCAAACTAAAATCTTTTTCTTAGAACGGTTTTTGTCGTTTTGTGTATGACGATAAACTACACCAAAAAGCAAGATCTCTGATCAGGAGGTTTTTTGGGATTAATTGCTGTTGTTCCTAGGCTCACCCTAACTCTGGGTGGTAGCACCTGTTAGGGTCCCCGCTATGAGTAAATAGTGAACCCCCAAACTAAAGTAAAAAATCAGTGTATAGAATTACAAAAGTAAATATATTACCAGCAATAGATTTTTGTAAAAAAAAAAAATTACTCAAGCTCCAAAGTGTTGTAGAGTAGTTTCACAGTGGAGGCTTGTGTTTCACTAAGTCAGTCCTAAAAAGGTTCGACGTACAAAACGTTAGGAATTTGAAATAATAATTAATGACGCAGCAATCTAGTTGTGGTGGTTGATACTTTAATGTCCAACATCGACTGACTCACCAACTCACTGAGCCCCCTGGCGACTGCTACTACTACTACTTATTATATGTGGGAGAGTCTATTAACAATAGAATAGGTATGTTCTAGTATAACACAAAGAAAACTAAATTTCGACATTAAATGACCCATAAGGATATGCCGTTAAATTAACAGAAACAGAATGTTTTTTCAGGAAATTAGACTTAGGGTCCAATAACTTTTATAACTCTTTCTAGTACTGATAGGAGTTTCCTTCCTAACCTTTTGTTTGAAGTCGTGTGGAAAGGCAACATTTTGATTACATCACTATTTTCTCTTCTAGTTATGCGTGCTACCAGTTTTAGTTGTTGAGGCTGTTGGAAGTCTTCAGGTTATTTTTTTTTTCTATGTTAGTTTTTTTTTTATTTGGTAATGCTCTTTGGTTGTGATCCTGTAGCGCCAGGTTCTGATGAGATATTGTCTTCCGACAAGCTCCATTCTCAGTCCTTTATAGCGCAAACCAGCTTTGTTACGTCCACGAGGTTAAATCCCCCCCATTTCCAACGTATTCCATTGGTAAGAACGGCGTTCCACCTCGAAAGTATCTTCCCAAGAACAGCTATTTTGTGGAACAGACTCCTGCGTGGATGCTTTGTAATTTTCATTTCATATTTCTTTCTCTCACGTTCTTATCTTACAGGTTCTACAGCCCATTCAGTAACCCTCTACTTTGAATTACTCTTCAGCCTTGTAAAGATAATAAAATGGTTAAAGGCTTAGAGAAGACTAAAATACTCGTCTTTCCTGTAGTGATGAGAAAATGTCATGACAACCGATTGCTTTAGAACATCTTCACTATTATTCTTATTTCATTCACAAAGTCCATTTATTGACACGCCTTGTTTCATTGAGAAATGTCTCGTGATCAATTTTTCATTGGTTAAACGTCAATCGAGATATTT